AAGGGAACTTGTTTGTGGGTTTTGACCCACTTTATTTTATTTTTCAGATTTATAGAAGTTCAAGTCTTGAGTTTGAGGATCCACAGCTTGGAGGCTTATCTATCATCTACTTTTTTTTTATTATTTCAAAGTAGGATGTTAATTATGTCATTTGACTTTAGTTTTATTTATGGATTTCTAAATAATGGATGTTGGTTAAGGGGTCCTTAAATTATGGGATTCCCGAATTGTAACTTTTAGAGATTTAATATTTAATGGAATTATTATTTATTAGTTTTCTTCAGCCTTTTATTTATTCTTTATTATTCATCTTTGTATTATGTGCTTACTAAATATTAATTATTTTGATATCCCCTTGTTTTATGAGCATAGACTTGATCAACCCATGTCTCCGGAATTAGGGGGTATCACAGCTTTCCTATGGACAAGACTTGAACTTAAGAAGCATGGCGCAAAGATTAACTGGCATTATATAGGCCTACCCAAAAGGGCTGGTGGTCTTGGAATCCTTCCTCTTCACTCTTGGAATAGAGATGCCATTATGAAGCATCTTTGGAACATGCTTAAAGGTAAAGATGGCATGCTTTGGATCACTTTGATCAACACTTATGTTCTCAGGGGTAGGAGTATATGGGAGGTTTCTACACCTGCACAATGTTCATGGACCTAGAGAAAGTTACTTTAACTTAGACCTGCTCTTAGACCACTTGTCAAACTCAAAATTGGAAATAGAGTGAATTCCAATTTATGGTTTGACAATTGGTCTCAACTTGGTCCTCTCCATCTTCTAGTTACTAATCAAGAACTCATCTCATCCATATTTGGTAGCAGGACCAAAGTAAGCACATTCATCTCAGGCCACTCTTGGATCTTTCCAACCACTATCACCAATCTCATTCCCCAACTCGCCTCATTCAACCTATTTCCCATTCTAAATCCAAACAATCATGACAAATTGTCTTGGATCCCATCACCATCTGAACAATTCTCCATTGCACACACCCTCAAATATCTCTCACAACATATCCCTACCTTAACTTGGACTCGATCACTTGGTCTGGTCGAAGCCAATAATTCCAAAACACTCATTTATTCTTTGGCTTGCTATCCAATCCAGACTGTCAACCTTGGACAGAGACTACACTTCCTACTTGAATACTCTTAACCTCTGCTCTCTGTGCAATCAATGCCCACAATCATATAACCATCTTTTCTTCCAATACTCATTCCATGCCCCATCTAGACATTTATACAAACAAGTTGTGGGTTCCACATCCTACCTTCGTCTTGTAATGAATTGATCGCATGGGTATCTCACCATTGGAGGGGTAAAGCGTTGGACTATAGAGCTCATACTTCTATATTGGCACTTACATCACTTGTATACAACATATGGGCAGCGAGAAACTACAGAATATTTAAGAAGAAAAAGATTTCAGCTAATTCCCTTATTTACAAAATTCTTGAAGCTATACGACTCAAATTGATGGTTGATCCTCCCATTGATTCACTAATTAACAAGCACATTGTTTGTGAATGGGACATCCCTTGTTCCATACTCCTACCACCACCACGACCATCGGATTAAAATATACTCGATGAAGGAGAAGATAATCTCTGTTTCATCTTGGTGCCAACCAATAGTTGTTTAAATGATTGTGGGAATATCTGTAATGTGGAATTTTGTAGGACTAAATGTCTTATGGGCCTATTGTATGGGCTTGGTCTTTACCTTATGGGTTGGGTCTTTGTAGTTTTATCCAAGCCTTCCTCAGGTTTCCTATGTATTGTTATTTATCTATTTATACAATTACCTTTACCTTTCAAAAAAAAAAAAAAAATTCATGTTATGCAAAAGCAGATTTTAACTTTTTATCAATAATATTTCAGAATTTATTATGAATTTATCTCTTATTTTGCGGATTCAAAATACCCTACTTTGTGGATTCAAAGCAACCCGTTTCTTGTGAACTATTTCACAACTTCTGCTATGGTCAGCATCACTTTAGATTCATTAAAAACAAACAGGCTTATGGCCTAGGACAAACAAACAGGCTCGACTGTCCGATGAAGGACCAAAAGCCTTGACAAAAAAGTGAGCCCAAATCATTTGGAACATAATTATAACTATCCAGCCCAAACAAAAGGCCCATCTACAAGTTTTGCTTGGTCATTTATTGCAAAATTCGTTTGATTAGTGATATATTTTATAATAAAAAAAATGTATGCATACCTCAAGTATTAACCGTCAGATTTCATTTGGCAATTAAAAAAAGTGGTTTATGCTTTTATATCCAATGGCTAAGATTTAATTCGTGCATAAATTCCTTACACACAACTGAGTAGGTAAACCGCCCTATTCAGGCCATATGATGCAATAATTAGATAATCAGAACAGGAGACCAAACCATAGAATGGACAGAATATAGCTACAATTGGTCTTACCCACTGTAGACTTACGTTGTACTCAATACTCGATCATGTTGGGAGTCCCCTGGTCATTGATTTCTGGTGAAGAGATAAAAGTTGGTGTGAGAGAGAAAATATTAGATTGTCACACAGAGGAGGAATGCAAGTACCCATCAATGCTAGGGTTGTAAGAACAGTGAGAGAAGTGAAAGATACTTAATTCATTGGACCGTGCAAAGAAGTTTCGCCATTACGAGGATCAATTAAAATTGAGTAATGATTTATGGACTGAATTTGGTCGTTCCAAATTCTAACTATATAAGTCAGGTGGTAGGCCCTATTATAACGTGGAATCCATAACTTCACTCACATAATTAGCATTCGATATATGCCGAATCCAGTCCACAAATCATCGTTCGAAAAAAAAAAACTATCCTAAAAATACCTTTTTACAGGAGAAAAAGCAACTTTTTGTAGCGTTTTATTGAGTCACCGTGTAAATGTTATACCATAAGATATCATTTTTCTTTACGTCTTTTCCTAAATTCTTAATACTATTGGCATACTTTGGTTTGGTTTCAACCCTATGTACCTAAATAGAGTTCGAGGGAAGGAAATAATTAAATTCTAAACAACTCGGTTTGGGGGAGACTTATGTCATAGATAAGGACAGAGGGAGTTAAGGCACAAGGGCACATCCCCCTAAATTTTTCATAATAATATATATATATATTTTAAAATATGGAAAGTACCTCCCTGAATTTTCTCCTTCCCTTGTAGAATTTTGTATATGTTTTCTATTTTTTCTCCTAAATTGATTCCTCAATCCTTATATTCTATATCTGTAAATATATTTGATTCCAAAAATATTACTTTCTTTCTATATATATATATATATATATATACTCGTAAACATGGACTTATATACATATACATTATAGTATAAATTTATGTTATGGCGTACAATACTACAATATGCCAAATTCTGACTCTGTCCCTTGTCATAGATGCAATATGTAAATGTCCCCTTGTTGAATCTATTGCTACAACTTGGCAGCTCCCAAACTCATTTTCTAATCCATCATCTTTTTCTTTTTCTTCTTCTGCTCCTCCTCCTCCTTTTTCTTCATTTTTTTTTATTTGTGTGTCCTTTACACCTTACTCTATTTATAGTCTTTGACACCAACTAAGAAATTTCCACATCAATTATGCTCAACAACTTTTCAAATTGGTACAGGAAACTGATTAAGTCATAAGTAACTGGTTCCGCTAAAGGTTTCACTTATTTGAAACATCGTTCCAACTATTCTGCTCAAATAGAACCAACGAAACCGGTTGCACTTGTCCATAATAGAATTCTCCATCAGAATTTTAGCCACAACTCTAACAGACAAGATAATTAAATTCTCAGTGATCAACGCCTCTCCTCCCTCAGCTGTTATTCAAGCTCTAAACAACTCACTTCAAGGAAGACTTATGTCATAGATGTAGTAAGTAAAAGTCCTTTTGCTGAATCTATTGCTACTACTTGGCAGCACCCAAACTCATTTTCTAATCCTTCTATTCATAACATGTTTCTTTTTCTTCATTTTTTTTGTTTTTGTTTTTGGGTCCATTGACACCCTTTGTTTCTTTGTAGTGGTTGCTATGCTTATTGCCTTTGATCTATACGTACAATTACGGTTGCTGCTTGGAGCTTACTGTGTTTAGTCTTTACTTCAGTTTTTATGTCAGCTTCTGGTTAAGAGCGCATGTTTTGATGGTGGTAGGCCCTAGGGATGACCTATGCTCCTATTGTAGAAATTATATGATCGACATTATATGCTTCCGACAATCACAACTTGACATGTAAGTAAAATTGTGAATATAATTAATACGTTTATTTACGAGTCATGATTGACCATATAGTTTGTACAAATTTATTTCTGATTTTCTATAGCTCTCTTGTTTACTGGAAAAAATTAAATAAATAAACAAAGATAAGCATCTGGAGTGTCAGGCCACATGTGAGGGACTTCTCTTTCAAGGTTGACGTGCACAGGTCCATTGGTGGCGTTACAGTTTTTATCTTTTCGCTCCACTTTTTGGGACAATAGAGAGGAGTAACACAAGCCACTAAATCTTTCCATGCCAAGACAGGTCAAGAATTGGAAAATCAACTACAAGGCAAATCTGTGTGCATGATAGATAGTACGTACACACGACATGTCTCCCCAAATTATTACCATATTAGAAAATTTTAAAGCCTGCTGTCAGTGGATGTGTTCAGAAGAGAAATTGAAGAAAACTCCAATTATTATAGACATATTGTTGCAGTCAACTATTAACGTGTTCGAGTCGTTGTTTGAATTATTAATGTGTTCGAGTCGTAATTTGCTGTATTGTTCGATATACGTTCTTTTTTTAAAGTTCGATATGTGATCTGTATCGGCCAATTTATACTGACTTTGTTTGAGTCCGTTACACTTGTAATTGTAACTAATACCGCGAAAGTGACCAATACTGCGAATCATGTGTTCGAGTCCTGTTAAAGATAATACGAAGTATCATTTGCAGAGAAAAAAACAAAAAAAAGAGGAGAAATAGCATCATGGCTACAAAAACTAGATCCTTTAATATTTTTATTATAAGTAAGAGCATATATGATATATCAAGTGCAACCCCTTTTATTATATATAATATATATATATATATATATATATATAGATGAAGTAAATACTACAAGTCTATGCATATATGGTTACAAATGGAGCCCAATGTGATTGACCACTCTAGTGGTCTAGTGGACTCACACTAGTGCATAGAAGAAGAAATTGAAAGGTCTGTCTATTACATAAGTAAGCTCCTAATGATAGCTGCTTGAGCACTGTCACTGTCTGTGGAAGCCAAGAGCTCCGACAACCGGTCACTTAGGTCATCCACCTCCCTGTGCAAGTTCTTGATATAGTTGCAAGTCTCCTGCAACACCTTTGAAGCCGACACCTATCCAATAATTTGTAACATCAATTAATTAGAAACAAACCAAAGTCACTACCCAAAATAATCTCATATATGACTAAGCTATACGTATGCATGCGCGCATACACATATATTATATATACACGCATTAAAACACATATACACAGTAATGCTACAATTGATTATCGGTTTTTTTTGTGCTAGACTACTCTTAGTCAGCAATGCATAAGAACAGAGTCTCTCTCCTCTTAAAGTATTTGTCTCATTGATTGACACGAAGTTTTTATCATTTTTCATACTAGAGTCTCTCTCTTCTCTCAAAGTATTTGTCTCATTAATTGACACATCAATCAGTAACGAACTCTTTATCAAGTTTTATATGTATATTTATATGTGCGACTAAGTCAGGCCACATCCACATGAGATAACATCTAATGCAAGACATGGTAATAAATGAGGATGTGGGTGTGACCAAACTTATCTACTATGAAGCAAATGAAGACCACAAAAATGTGAGGACTACTAGTTGAATTAAGTTCATGTGATCAGGAGAGAAAAGACCAAACTACCTTGTCTGAGCGCCTGTTGCGAATCTCAGGAATAAGTTGTTGCAGCTTGGACACCAGATCGGCCATCTGTTCATCAGTGATCGTTGAAGCTCCTGACTGCCTGGTACGCGATCTTCGGCTAGACATTGTCAGAATTAAAGCTAATGAACGAGAGGTATAACACAGAGAGACAAATGGTAGAGTATTACTAGAGAAGTGCTTGAGACAAGTTATGGACTGAGAGAGTGATGAAGAAGGAGAAATTTTGAGAGAGGAAGAATACTAAAGAAGTGGAGTTGGGTGTGAAGACAAGTGCATGGGAGAGAGGAGTGTGGTGTGATGGTATTTAAATAGAGTTTGGAGAGAGAAAGTGAGAGAGAGAGTTTGGAGAGAGAGAGAGAGAGAGAGAGAGAGAGATACGCCATATGGTGTCCTTCTCTGTGTGTCCCCAAACTGGGGTAGAGTTCAAGTGGGTTAAGAGAAATGTGCTTGTTTACTACCCAACTTTGCGGGCCTCTCTTGTGTCAGCCTCAGCACGCAAGCCCATGTTATCTTATTATCTCCTGTCATTTAAATAACTACAACAACACATGATATATATATATATATATATATATATATATATATATATATATATATAACTGCAGTATCTAAAGAAAATATTTTTTTTTGGTTGTTAAATCTATAAAATACAAGGACAATCTGTTAGTTTCTTTCACTTTCATATGGTAGGTTAACTAAGAGTATATTTGTGTGTATAAGTAGAACTAAGCATTTTTCTTTGTCAAGTTATACATAATACATAACTAGGACCTCAAGTCTAATAAGTATGATCTCACCTTCTCAATCCTGAGGTTAAGAGTTCGAATTCCAACATAGGCATATAGTAAATAGTGGGTGTGTCTACTTTTTTAACACTAAAAAAAAACCAGAACTACATGAGAAAGACTGCATTGTTGATCAGGGTACAGGATCCCATTGTGTTTGGAAGCGTTGTGTGTATGGTGTTGTGCACCAAAATTACTATTTTGGTGTACGATATTGAACACCGGCCTCTCCAATCAGAGGGTTCTCATGGCCTTCTTTTGATCAACAGTCAAAGGCTGATATAGGGGTGAGCTCTGGTGGACTTGAGCCAGGCCACCCCCAAAATTTTTTTTTTATTTTTTATTAATGTAAGTAATTTTAGTCCAAGCCAAAAATAAAAAATTATTAATAATATTAAGCCACTCAAACAAGCCCAAGTCAACTAAATTTATGTTTAATATTAACCTATTTTATTAATAATTTTTGAATTCGCCCTTATTAGCAGCCACATGAGATGACTAATTAATGCTAATGTGAATTTTTGGCCACCATGTGAAACACTGTGCCTTGTATTATGTGCGTTACATTGACCCATTCATTCTTTGGTGACACAATGTTAAAAATGCTTTGTATATGTTCCATATTACGTGAGACTGGAGTAAGCTTCGTCACGGTTGGATAGGAATCCCAAATATATATATATATATATATATATTAATAGCGAAAGCATTAATCTACTGACTATTGAGACATCTGTCTATTTAATTGTTACCCAACAAAAATAAGAATAAGATAATGACTAATAAAAAGTATAACCTTAAAATTGGTTGACTGGAGTAAGCTTTGTCACGGTTAGATAGGAATCCCATATATATATATATATATATTAGTAGAAGCACTAATCTATTGACTATTGAGACATCTATCTACTAAATTGTTACCCAACAAAGATAAAAATAACCAATTTTAAGGCTATAATTTTTATTAGTCATTATCTTTTTCTTATCTTTGTTGGGTAACAATTAAATAGACAGATGTCTTACAGTAAGTAGATTAGTGCTTCCGCTATTAATTTAATTTTTTATCTTTCTTATCTTTTGAAAAAAAAATAATAATAAATAAATAAATAAATTTTGCATTTTTTGCTAAGATCTCTTCTGGTTTTGCATCTGGTGTGAAACCTATCATTTTTGTGCCTTTCGTCAATTTTACTTCTTCTCCTTACTTAAAACTTATATATATATACACACACACACATACATACATACATACATACATACATGTGTATATGTATCATAGGTTCTCTTATTATGAGAGTCTGAACAAAACAAAAGGGGTTGTGATGTTCGCAACTGTGTGGTCTATGTCTGGTTCGTCTCTCTCCGAATTGGACAGATCATATTGTTTTTAAGAATTGAGTAGTATGGTGCGAAAGGGAAAACAAAAATACCAATTCGAATTTTAGTTTTTAAATTTTTTTTTTTATTTTCATTGTCTCAAGCGAAGAATTTGTGTGCTTGCTGTTGAATCCGTGAAGTAGACACAGATCAATGACACTTCACAAAATACAAAATTGAAATCAGAAAGATGAAGTACTGGACTGAAAAGTATGGCCGCCGGAGGCTTCTAGATTGTTTGAATTCTGATTCTAATGGTCTTGTTCTTTGATACAAATGCCTACAATTCATATAGATGACATAACGATATATATCTATATCTATAGGTAAAACTCTAAAAATTACTTAATAAAATTAATTCACAATAAATTTACAATAAAATATTTATTAATTGATATAAAAAGAATAAATATTTTTTATGAATTATTATCACAATATAACGGCCGGCCAATTATGTCAAGAGAGGACACATTAAGAATTCTAGAAAACCAGAATTCCAGATTGAAATAAAGAAACTCTACCAAAGAGTTTCATGTATTTATTAATTGATATGAGAAGAGTTTTTTTTTTTTTTTTAAAAAAAAAAAAAAAAAAAAGACAACTCTATAAAACTTTAAAATCGACCTAATAAAATTTAAATTAACTTATTTATCTATTTATTATTATGAATTTTTTAATAAAAGAATATTTAATAAGACAATAATTATTAACATAAATAATATTTATTAATTGATATATAAAATAAAATAATTTTTCTAAAACTCTACCACAAATTAGGTTTTATGATGAGTTTCTTAATAAAATGAAATATAATTAGACAAGAATATATTTAAACAAAATAAAATAATTTCTATAAAAATTAATCACAAATTACCTATTTTATTTTTAATAAAACTTTATCACACCAAATGCAAGCAAGATATCAATCTTTCAAAAAAATTTACTCCTAAATGACATCCACAAGGTATACAAGGAGTATTGGACTCTCAAGTCAAGCAATTTTTTTAAATTCTAAGTATTATGGTCCTCAAAAGATCAAAATCATAGCCCAGACTCTCAAATCATACCACATGCATAGAAATGAAATGCGACATGTAAGATATGTTAAAACACCCCCAAACTTAATTTGTGCATTGTCCTCAATGTACAAAGAAGCAACATATAATGGAAAGAGTATACTAAATGGATGAAGCACAATGGACCCGGTAACGGAAGCTTAGCTTTGGAAGGCGCACCCCCAAACTTAGATTCCAAAAACCTGTCTGAAAATGGTCACACTAACAACTGTCAAAGCATATGCATCAATGGTATAACTGAGAGATAAAATTGAGAACTGAGCAAAAATCATGGCATGTAGCAATGTAAAGCTCAGAACATACAGAACTGATATCAAATATTCAAGAATCCATATAGATCTGAAAATATCCAAAGACAAATCCAAATACTATCCAAGAAACTTCCAAAATAGTATCCAAAACAATAATATGAAATAATATCCAACATACCAAATATTTAAGAACAAATATCCAAATATCATGTAGAAAAATCACAGTCAGAGCAATAGAGATCATGAGTATGAGAGAGAACGAAAATGATGGCATCGGACAGAGAGATCTGGAGTAATCATGTCAGCAATATGCTGCAGCATGACAGACATCTCGATACTATGGCGAGTAAGTGAAGTGGTAAGGTCGATCCTCAAAGCTCCAAGCTCATGTCTCACCTCAGCTACCTTAGCATGCAGGGCATCAGATCTCTAAACTAAATCATCATGTCTCCCCACTAGATCGTCGTGTCTCCTCACTAGGTCATCATGCCTCCTCGTGATATCCTCATGACGACTAGTCATATCAGCTCTGAAAGATATAAAATCTATATGTAACTAAGCTACCTCTGATCGATAGCTGGAGTCAGTGCTGTAGGTGCAGAAAGATGGGCATGTGACGGGCCAGTCTGATGTGATGCAGCCGGTATATCTGGCTGGGACGTGGATCCGGAAGTAGTAATGCGACGCCTATATCTGGGAGGAGATCTATCAGCTATATCATCATTTGGAGCATCGCCTGCTACTGTCTGTCCTGGCTCTCTTTGTAACTGTGCCTGTAATCTCTTCATGTCCCTATTGGCTCTATTTTTGCGGCAGGCATTGAAGGTCTTGTTCCACCGAGTCAGATCATAAGCTCTCTTGGCCCTATCAGTGTCGGACTCTAGTATCTCCTTAGGGTCAAACTGGTATCCCTGGTCAATAAGCAGCTGTGTGATAAGGTGACCAAAAGGTAACAGCCATATCGCTGCTCGGGTAATGAGTGTAAAGTGCAAGTTCTTCCTGAACTTGTGGATAAGCTCCCAAATAAGTGCAGGAATAGAGAACCAATAGCCCTGGTCAACACAGTATAAAGCCTGGAATATCCCCTCTCTCCTCTGAGTGCCATGACCGGTAGGGTAGGCATTGAAGTGAAGCACAGAGTCGAAGAACCAGTACCGGGAATCTATCTCGACCCAGTCTAAAAATGAGTGCCCCTCATATGCCACCTGTGGTGATAAGGTGGCTACCATAGTCAGCTCAGGAGGAAATAGTGGATGGTCAAGGTAGAGAGGCTCCTGAGTATCCTCATCTCATGGAGAAGTGAGAAAGCAATGACTGGCAGCAGCTATAGTCGGCAAAGAAATGTCTATCTCATGACCATCGATGGTGGTGTGTAGAAGAAGTCTGTCATCCTTGTCCATCCGGAGGTGCTGATAGAAAAGAACAATCAACCGGGGATAGACAACTGTGTCTGCAGGAGTCATAATGGCTGCGCTACCCCGTCTCACAAACTCATCATAAGACCATTGGGTCTGATCCAATGTAGAAAATGTAGCTGTATCAAATCTATACTCGGTCTTCGAGGCTCTGTTAGCATAAGACTCAGCGAGGACCTCTCTAATAATATCATGCTCGGTATCCATGGTAGATGTATCAGAATGAACTGATGCCAAGGAGGAAGAAGATGAAGAAGAAGACTCTGCAGCTAGAGGTGCAGGCTGTGACACTAGAGGAACTCGTTTCCTGGCAAGAGTCTTTCGTCTACCCGGCATCTGCAAAAAACAATTGTAAATCAGTGCACAGGTTTAGGATAAGGTAAGCAACTGATAAGAAAACACAAAACATGCCCGAATCAAGTATAAGTAGATAAGGTAAACAGATAGGATCACGCTTGTGCAAGAAATGAATAAGAAAACTTCAGAATC